AGTTCCCATGATTCCCTAGCACTGAGCCAGGGCAATGCCTCAATTTAACAACAGCAACAACTAATTCTGCCTCTTTTCCATAGCAGGGAGGGACTTAACCTGAGTAATGTCAGCCAACTGGCTGCAGAACCATTGAGGTTAGTTTCCCACATGATGCAGATCCAATTTGTGGTTGAATTAAAAAAATGCACTCATAGGGCCTATACAGATTGCCAGAAATAATCCATCTTGAGACCACTTTAACTGTCCTGGCTCAGTGCTAAGGAATCATGGAAACTGTAGTTTGTTGTGTCACCAGAGCTCTCTGACAGAGAAGGCTCAATGTCTCAGAAAAAAAACTACAATTCCCATGATTCCCTAGCATAGAGCCAGGACAGTTAAAGTGGCCACAAGCTGGATTATTTCTGGCAGTCTGTATAGGCCCTATATAGTTTACCTAAGCAGTTATGTGTGTCTCTTTATTCCTCCAGTGTATGCAAAATTTCATTATTGGTTATGCCAAGATTTTTTATTTCAGCAGTATAACTTGGGGCAGGAATGAAATGATTTTGTCACAGTTAAATGGTTTTGAATGAAGATGTAATGCAAATTATCAAGAGATTTGTCCAGAGTGTGACTTGCCCAAGGTCACCCGGTGGATTTGATGGCCAAGCTGGGAATTGAACCCTGGTTTCCAGAATCATAGTTCAACACTCAAACCACTGTGGCACACTGGCACCAATCAGTATTACTTACAAGTGGACAATAGAAAAATGTACAATAAAAAAAAAAAGGTTTTAAAATGCATTTGCAGCAACAGCTCCTCAGCCAACCTCAAACTGACTGTTGAATTATATTTTTAAAGTGTATTGGATATTCTAGCAGTGATTTGGGGTCTCTCTCCTTTAAACATGAGCCAGAAGAATGATAGCAGTCAGTTTTCAGAATTTGGCACAAGAAACACTTTCTCCCTCCCTCGTGTATAAATTTATGAATGTACATTTATTTCTAATGAGCAATTTGCTTGTAAAACAACAACAAATTCAAGCCAATTGCTGTGGAAAAACCTACAATATAAAGTTGCAATTACTTTTTAATTATTGATGCCAATGCTTGCAACATATGTTATAGGTATGGAATTATATTTTGTTAAATATTTTGACACCAATTATTTCAAGAGCTGAAGGAAATCCTGTTCTGTTTGTGCTTCGTGTAAATCTTTTGCTGGACATTCTATACTCATAGTGTGATGGAATAAGTTCTTGAATCATAAAAGACCAATCTAATCCAAACCCTTGCTATGCAGGAATACACAACAACTGAAGTAAAAGATCCCCATCCAACCTCTGTTTGAAGACCTCCAAAGAAGGATAGTCACTATCCCCTGAGGCAGTTGCCAAACTGTTCTTGCAATAAAGAAGTTCTTCATAATGTTTGGTTTGTAGAACCTATGTTACCAGGGATACTGGTAAGATACCAGGAAGAGGGTACTCCAGGGGTTCTGTGCTAGCCCTGACATGCAAGTTTTCTATTGATGAGTAAACATGCAGTTCTCCAACTAGTTGAAACTAATACAGGCAGTCTAGCCAAAATGGCATTCTGTAATTCTGCTGGTGTGTAGTTTGTTTCCAAGCTAGAGGCTGCTGCATACTCAATGATGTAACAGCAAATTTTCAAGTGCAGGCACTCATCATGACAGTCTCAATAGCCCGATGTCCAAGAAGAGTCCAAAAAATGATCCATTATATTAATCAACTAAGGGCCTTATCACACCAGCCTCTTTCTCTCTGCAATCATGGGGGGAAAAAAGAAAGAAATGGCAATGTACCACTTTTATTGTCACTTTTACTGCACTAGTTTTCTTTCACTGGACTGGGGACTGCTGCCCCCATGGTACACCAGTCCCATCCTTTCCCTTAACTCTGCCCTCGCTCCCTGGTATGCTTTTTAAAAAACTTTTCTCATGCAATTTTGGAGCTCTGCAGCCCCAATGTAATGTTTTAAAATTTTAAAAAGAAATCTTGGGCTTCAATTGTATGAAAAAAAGAGGATTTTTTAAAAAAAAAATAGCAAGGGATGGGTATATACCAGTATAGAATGTCCAGGTGGAAGGAGGGAACAGTAGCACCATATAGCTGCCAATAATGTAACTGCTCTGGGAATGGCTTTCCACACCTAGGTCATCGTGCTATTAGCAGCTCATTCATGGGTTTCCCCTGTGAATGAAAGGAGATGCCTAGGGGCTAGGGCAGCTACAGGAGGGAAGTGGCATCATGTGATCGGTGTTGCCAATGTCACTTCCCTCCCATGGGAATTGTAGTTTAAAAGCCATGTGTGATAAAGCCCTAAATCTAACAGTTTTCATTTCTCACTGAAGCAGGCATTTTATAAAGCTAATGAGTTAATTGTCCATTCAAGACCATGATGCCCCTAGTTAGTTAGAATTAAAAGTAGGCAGAGGGATCTTTTAGCACCTTTCAGACTAAGAAGCTTTTGTAGAGTTGTGCCTACTAGATAGCGGGGTGGGGATTCTGGCTGCTCTGAGAATGGAATTCCAGAGTCTAGAGACATCCACTGAGAAGGTTCTCTCTCACAACCCCACTTTCTGTGTTTGTAATATTGGTGAGATTGAGAGCAGAGCCTGTTTTGATGATCTCAGGACCCAGGCAGGCCCATATAGGCAGATATGGGAATTGATCACCCATGATTGCTGTCCTGCCACAATCATGCTTGTTTAATAATAAAAGCATATTGTTTTTCATCAATTGTTATCACAAGTTTTCCACATGTGATTTAGCATTGCTTTGGTGATTCATGGCTGTATGATCAGATCTCTTCACTGCCACCATGCCAGGTGATGCCTGGATGCCCTACCCTGCATATGCATTCCCTTCACATGCATGCCCTTTGCTATTCCTTGTGAGGAGAAGGCTGTCATTTCCCCTTCATTGGTGGGTGGTGGGTGGGGAGAAGCTGACTGCATCCCTCTGCATCCACTAAAAAAGAAACGAGAGTCCTTCATCTTGGGGATACTTCTATAAAATAATAATTATAAAAACAATAAAAACAACTTCTATAAAATAAAAAGCAATCAAAAATAGAAAAGAAAAAAGAACAGCAAGGGTGATGGGAAGAGTGGGAGAGGAGCAGAGTCACACCCACTCACATCACGTGACTGCTTGAAAAGTGAAACTGCAGTGGAAGGAACTTTTCACATGTAAATCCAATATACATGTGAAACAGTGGCAGGCATTGACAGATTTTCCTCATCAATAAAAAGGAATGCTCCAGGAATGGGTGGGTATGAAACAGCTAAAGATTTCAGTAGCAAAAGTGGAGTGACCATTTGGGTTCTCATGGAGCTCATGTGAAGCAGTTATAGAAAGGGGTGAGAGAGCCTGGTCCAAAACATTTTTGGGGATAGCACAAATTGCTCCCTTGGTGAAGGGGATTCAGAGGAGCTCAGTGGGGACCATATCTCAGCACCTCATGCCTCAAAAAGTGGCAACAAGAACAGGAAAAGGATCAAGACATGTGACATGGAAGAGCTGAAGAAGGTCAATCGATCTGATCACAGCTGCTTTCTACAGCCCTTGAAAAGGTCTTTCTGCAGCCCTTAAAAAGACTCTGCTGCTGCTTTTAACCAACAGAAAACTTGAAACTTAATATTTAATTAAGCAAATGCCCTAGGAGAACATTATATTCTCCAACCTTTGGGGTTTTTTTTAAACTGAAAACATTCTGAAGGAGTGTTGCCTCTATTTATTTGTTAGGCTCTCTTTGTTAGAACTACCCTCCCCCTCAACCTGCCAATATTACTTACCCTTCTTCTTTACCCCTTTTCCCCTCACATAGGATAATGTCTGAGTAGGGCTAATGCAAGTCTATACCTGTTTTCTCACATTGTTCAGTCTGTTTACTTTACTCACAAGTAAATGAGTATAGGTTTATTGTCTCAATATCACAGAACATAGCTAGACTGGTGTTTCCCCCCTCTAAGAAATATTAACAGTAAAACAATTCAGAAATGTCTATTGAAATATAATAAATGTTGCTTAGTGATAATTAGATATTTTAAGGCTGGTGAGAACAAACTATTAATATTTAACCTTATAACTCTATATTGGAGTAGAAGATAAGAACATAATCCAGTTTTATAGTTGTGTACCTGCCTCAATAAAGACTTATAAAGAAAATGTAATAAAAATGTTCAAGTAAATGTCTCCCAGTAATCCCCATAGACCTTTCAATGATCACACTCGATTGTTCTCCAAGTGTAAGTAATATCTGGTAAACAGAATTATGGTTTCATTCATTGCTGTCGCATAATCACGTCTTCTGCCACTAGTGCAACATATTTCCTCTAAAAAGGAATAAAAATAGTTGGGAGAGAACCATTCCCTGCTGTATTTGTAGTCAGCAAAAACAACATCATAGACCAATATGTACCACAGGCACTTTCCAAAAATAAATCCCAGACCCTACGGATGATATCATATCTAATTTATTTTTTTAAAACAATGTGAAAACAACATTTGCTGGGAATATGCTTTGCCCTGAACATTTTTGTGGTCTTGGCAGTCTGGCGAGACTGTGCATAATATCCTGCTTGTTATAGTGATGTGCTAGTTTTACTTGGCTTCATGTGAAATACCCAAGGCCTTGAAATCTGGTTTAGAAGTTAAGGATTCAAAGGGTACCCCTGTGAAAGACTCCTGATGTGAGTGATTGGTAGAAAATGACCATCTCTCAATTACCCCTTTGAAATTAGGATATACAAATAATAATAAATTGCTTTTTGGTTTATATAATATGTACTTGCTTAATTGTACTTTATCTAAAACCTTAAGGCTATCTAAGACCAAGTACCATGGACGAACAAAAAAAGAAGGGAGAGGGCAGTATGGATCTGCAAAACATACACAATTATAAAATGCTTTTGGTTTTACACTGGAGCTGAGCAGTAAAATAAATAGGTAACCCTATAGGATTTATGATTAAGGACTGTATCACAACAGGTTAGTAAAGTGTCCAAATAGCATTTGTTCAGCAAACATACATTGTTACACAGCTTTTCAAAAGTGCGATGCTGCTGCTTCTGTCCCAGCCTCTGCCTTCCTCATGCCAGCATCTATAGCTGGTCCGTATTTAACACAATTACATGATTATAGTAATCCATTAAGTAAAAAATAAATAAAGTTAAGAAAAGATTAAAAAACACACAACATAGCCTGCTTTGGAATAGTGGGGTGGAAGGGGAAGAAGGGGAGAGGAGCATGATCACTCCCATTAGTACCCCGTGATGCTCTGCATATCAGAACTGCAGCAAGAGGAACTTATCTCATGTGAATCAAATCAAAATTAGAAACAAGATTGGGAGGCAATGATGGGTTTTGCCCATCAATGAAAAGGAGCACTCCAGTAGCAGATGGAGTACAGCAGTGGTGTCACTAGGATGTATGTGTGTGGACCATTACAGGTGACACCTCAGAAGAGGGGTGACACTTGGTTGGACCCCCCATCTCGACCCTGCTGCTTTGTTCTCCTCATGAGTAGAATGATGCAGTGGTACCAAGGCAGGCCGAACATCCCTACCACCTTGGTGCCTCTGCCTTGTTCTCATGAAGAGAATGAAGACAGTGCCTCCAGAGCCCCCCCCCATCAGAAGCCTGATTCCAAGGAAGCCTTGTTCCCCATACTGGATGACACCAGGGACAGGGACGCCACTGGACTACAG